CTCGAGTTCGAACGAGCCGCCGCGTTCGTTCCGCCATCGGATCTGCCTCTTCCTTCTAGGACCCCGGATAGAATTCATAGGGCTGATATATTGCTGGTCGAGCGAAAGAAGGGTTCAATGATTCACGGCGAGGATACGAAATTTGTTTATAGCCCTTTCGAGGAGGGGGATGGAGAGTGAATCTTGTGTGGATATCGTACGAGTTTATCAGAAGACCGATCAACTTCAATTTTTATCGATTGCTTAATTTCGTTATACAGATAGGTGTTTAATATTCAATTTTGAAGAAAGAAATGATTTACTTTCATCGGTTCATCGATAATAAGAGGATGATACAAACATGATGATAACAAATTCTAAGGTAAATTTAAAATAGTAATTTTAAGTGAGATAAATTGTGACTTTTCTAGCATTTGCTTTTCTTGTTAAAAACCCCAATCTAATGTCGGAAACTGTTCATTGTTGCATTCATTCGTTGTAGGAATAGAATATCTTACTATTACGAGTCGATCAAATTAAATATTCTTAACTCTACAACTTCTTGGAAAAATCATTATCGAGGTTGGTACTATATATATTTCCGGTGTAGTAATGGTAATACTTCAGCTTTCAAAATCTGTTCATAGTTCCTATGAATTTTTACATTTTCATAACCAATAACATATCTACGGAGAAATATTTCTTCTACATTCATTTACAACACAAAAGTTTCGATTTATTAGAACTGAGGAGAATCGAATGAGAGAAAACGTCGAGTCTGCTTCTCCATGAAACTACAAAGAACTAATAATTCTTAATTTAGGGAACGAAACCAAAAAGAGTTAATACTCGTGTCTCTGAATTCGTTTCACCGGTGTCGGAGGATGTAGACGTAATAAAATTAGGGAGCGTGTCAAAGACGAGGAAGCGGTCGGTTTAAAGAAACGCCGATCGACCACCCACAACACGTAACCCTTTTATCTCGAGCCGCGTCCCTTCGACTAGATCCCTTTATTTCGGGGAAAACATTTTGTTTCTAGCAGATGCAACGCGCCGCTCATTTTATAGTATTCTCCATTACGGCCATCTACATTGCCATAAAGTTTCTAATAATCCAAATAAAATTTATGTATTTAAGTCGATGAACTACGAACCTTTGATAATCTTCGCGTGCACTTTGCGATACACGAATTTAAGGTATTTTATGACGATTTCGTGGGTGGTCCGAACAGGCGGACGGATGTGCATGATAAATATAAAACAATGTTACATCAGCTATTTTCGACGTGTAAAGAGTGCAAATGCTTGCAAGAATTGGCTTGGAGTATGACTTCTGAATTCGCTTTGTAGATACAAGAGAAATTTAGCACTTAATAGCGCTAGGAATCCTCTATACTCTATATACTGTCCATATTCTGTAGGAATGCTTCATTAGAAATGTTACTGTAAAATAGTTTCCACATAAAAGGAAAAATACATGTAGATACATTGAAATAATCCTAACTATTGTTGTAATTGTAGCTGTGAAATAGAATTCCAAGGTTTTCCATAATATTCTTTTCATTAGGTACCGTGTTTCTTCCATCTAAAATCTACAATTTGATGAAATTTAAAAAAATTGAAGTATTTACGACATTTCCATAAACTGTTGTTTGACTCTTCGTGGGTTAAAGTAAAGACACGTTTCACAAGAGAGAAACAGCCAAAATAGTTTTATATTCTCCGACGAATGCGATGTACAATCGTACGGAACTAACGTCCCACTAAAAATCCTAAAAGAAAACAGAAAAGAAAGCTAGAAGGAAAAGAACAAAAAAAAAAAAGAAAAAAAGAAAAAATGCAAACACACAGGAAGAAGTTCCAAAAGCTCGTAAATCCTAATGAAACATCCATCGATAACCGACGATCCCCTCTCCTTTCACATCCCTTGCAACTTCGATAGCTCAATCTCGGTGGCTTGCGTCTGGGCGTAGATTTACAAACAGCGAAGGGGTCGGTAAATTTCGATTCTCTGACATAATACCGGTTCCATTCGGCGTATAAGGTTGGGCAAACGTTCCGAAGGAGCGAGGAAGCTGACACACGTCGCCACGAAATAACCGACGGCTAGGGGTGGTAATTGTGCGTCTGGAAGGCAGCAAGCGCGTTGTATTCGAAGGAGGATGCGGCTGGTCGGCAGTTCCTCTTTCAACGAGACGGCAAACTTCGCAGGCGACGCACAATATCTCCGCGGCTAAACGCCGCAGCCCTTTATCATTGTTATGGCGGCCGGC